TTTGACCACAGTGGTGCAGTGGTTAACACTGTTGCCTCATAGTGAAAATGTCCTGTGTTCAAATTCCCTTTGCTGGATGCGGCCTGTCTGTGTTTGTTTGCTTGCTTGTTCTTCCTCCCTTGAGTGAGTTCTTGCAGTACTCCAGCTTTTTCATGGGAGAAGGAATAATTGCTCATCATGTTGTGTTACTGGCACAAACCTGCTGTGCAAGTGGTTTTTGCGTGGCCTGCGAGACTTGTTCACGTCACGCACGCATTAAAACACAGACATATAGTTACATTTATTGTGTTCTTCCTTTATATCCCTGCAAATAGTCAGATGGCTAAAACTAAAAGACTAATACATATATTTCTTTTTCTTTATAAGCTGCTGTGCGATATGACCAAAATCTCATATCCTGATATAAAACATTTATCGTCCGATAACGATATAAATCACAAAAATGTAACATTTTCTGTAAATTCTGTGAATCTTGAGTAGCTGAAGTGTTTCCAGCTGGGCGTCGTGTATCTGGAGTCGGGTGTTTTACCAATGCATGAAACATTTTTAGACATAGGTTTTAACGGCTGCTGTTTTCTTTGCGGCGTGCTGCAGGGAAAAGCCTGTTTTAACGTTTGAGTCTAAGGTTTATTTTTTAGCACCTGACGGCTGTTTTTTGCTTCTCATCGGTAAATATCTGCATACTATTTCACGTGATTCAGTTTATTTTGAAAAGTCTCAACAGGATCTTGAGCTTTATTGTGAAAGGTTTATGTGGAAAATAAACAAGCGGACATGTGATGGTTTTACCGTCGTTGTTGTTAACGACAACGCATAAAAACAGGCGCTTGTCCGTCCTTAGTGTGGTTATATTAAATATAAGAGAAAGAGAGAACTTTAAGAAATTAATATAGCCACTACAGTGACCATCAAAGCGATGAAAAAATATTGCCGTAAACAGTTTATTTTGCAACACCACGAAACAAACGATAGCGTAAAATGAAACGATAGACGTTTTTATATCGTCATCCGATATATATATCGAACAGCCCTAAGCTGCATATTTATTATTTAAGTAATCAATTACAAGCGCTATTAGCATCACTTGATGAACACTTATTTACAGATATGCACGACAGCACATTCCAGTGTCCCCAAAGTGCCACTGCACTACTTAAAAACAACAGCATACATTCGCTATTCATTTTGAGATCAGCTTCTACAATTAATATGTAAAATTTCTGTTTTCACTGTATGATTCTGCAGTATGAAGAATGATTTCATTAAAGCTTTCTTTATTTTATCTAAATTACAGCAAATCTGGAGGAGATTCTACACTGATTCAGAAGCTTGCAGAGATGAGTAAGTATTTGTATCAATAAAAGGCTTCAAGGGCTAAACCCCCCCACCCCCCCATCAAGCTAAACGTGTCTGTCAAAAACTACAGGTCCTCCAATCCCTCCTTGAGGCTTTCTTCGAAAACGAGTAAATCCTTATAGACTCAATGTTAAAATGTCCCATGTACATATATAAGTAGACCGGACCATATATGTGGACTGTTGATTCTTGAAAATCCAAATCCAGAAACCCTTTGTGCGACATCATGCTGGCTCCATCCAAGTCATAGTCTGTAATTTAGCTATTTAGACTGATTTTCATCGCTTTTGTTTTCATGTAGGCTCCACTCGCAGTCGCATGCAGGAGCAAAAGATGAAGGAGGATGCTGAGTCGAGGATGGAAGAACTCTGAAATCTATTCAGCTGACCTGCACTGTTTGTCACAATGTGAACGTTATTTTCTGTTCACACCTGAAGTGAAACACACCTGTTTTTTGTACATTTAAAAGTGCTATTTTATTTTTTATTTAACTTTGAGGAGATTTTTGTGAATATAGAGGATGTTCACCTTTTTTGTTGATGCTTTATCTTAGTGTTTTTAATGAATTAGGGCTGTGTCAGTAATTTTCATTAAGTATGTTTGGTTTTAAGTATTTCAGTGCTATTAGTTCCTCTTCACTCATGTTTTAAGTAGTCTGGATAGCTTCTGACACACACTGCTGGTTTTCTCCGCCTCCAGAACTTTTCACGTCTCGAGCATAATGTCACATTCAAGTGTTAAATCATGGTTACTCTGTAAAGAGGAGTAAATATCAGCCTCAGAGAGACATCCGAATGTCTTTTAATGTAGTGTTTTTACTGTTAAAGTAATAATTTCAGTTGGCAGCGCACATAATGTCTTCTTAAGTTGGTGACATAAAATGAGTAGGAAAATTGAATTTGTTTTAAAAACATGTTGAGTTGCATAAAAATGTCTGACATCCTGACAAGATTTCTGTACCACTACTTCTTTATCTGAGCTACAATTATCAGACGAACACAGTCAAACTAAACAAAAACAGTCATTTTCATGTTTTCATTGAACACACCGGCTGGAAACACCAGCAACCTTTACCAGATGTTTCTTGCTGCTTATGAGACAACTGTGAGAAAACTTGAACAGCTCTCCCCAGCAAACCAGTTTTAATTCATCGGTGATTCTGTGATGTTGTCATTGCTTTGTATTATTTTGTTGCATGAGTCAGACATTCCTAGTTAAGGTCAGCTGCTGTCTTGACTTCTTTAGTAAAATTTCTGGTATAAGTTTGAATTGTTACCTAAATTCTTCCAACACAGCCTCACTGCAAAAAGGCAGCTACAAGCCACGATGATCCCTCCTCCATGCTTCACAGTCTAGATTTTTTAAACAAAATATCTTCCTTGCATTTCTTTCCTCCAGATGTAGTTGTGTGCATTTTGCCAAAAGATTTAGAACATTGAACATTTATTACACTAATTTAGAAAATTGTCCCAAAGTGTCTCTTTCTTGAGAAGAGCAGACATTGTGTGGCTTGACTTATAGAAAGGGAAACCTTTACAACCCACACTTTCAATCGCCTCAATAGTAACACCTCAGAGTGGTCAGTGAAAGCATGAGAAGTACAGTTGTTTTTGTATGTTTAGTGAAATATCTTTTGTCTATAATTTTGACATGGCTGAAGATCATACTATGCTTTGAGTAATCTAAGGATAAAAATCCCACTAATTCAGGTGCAAGTTTTTATTTTCACTGTAGTTTCAGATGATTTCCCTTCGGTGTAATGTGTAGTTTTATGCTAACTTTTGCTTTCTTTTTGGGATGGTTAATAAATGCAAATAAAGGGGTTATTTGTTATGAGTTAAAGAACTATGTTTTCTATATAATTTACACTCATTAGATTGGCTCTTGTCATTTTTGCAAATGGGAATAAGGAGAATTCTCAGGAAAGGAGGGAAAATGAAGACACTAATTTTAAAGTGAAATGTGTTTTTAACGTACTGAAGTGTAGTACATACAGGTCACCACAGAGATCAGCTATGTGTTTTCATTCAGCATAGAGTAGCCAAAGGTGGTGTGCAGTGACCACCTGATAGAGTAAAGAGCACCACTGTGTGTTCTCATAATAGACTCCCACGTCCCTGTGAAGGTACGCGAGAGGACATGTTATTGGGCAGTTTAGTTTTGCTTTGCTTTGGATGTGAGGAAAATAAGATTTTAGTACCATTTTGGAAATGTGTAGACGTTTTTAATAAACCACAGAATATTTGTTACTTCTTGTTCAGCTTCATCTTGAAAGTCGTGTCTTAGATCTCCCCAGTGCTAACATGAAAGCTCAAATAGATTATAGTTTAGGGCATTTAGACCAAACCAGCACAGTCCCTTTTCTTCACCAAATTCTGCTGTAATTATGAACGAATAAATACTAAATCTTTGACCAAAACAAATCGACCTTGTGTTTGTTCCTGTTCAACCAGAAGAACAGTCTCAGTTTAGAGCTCATCTTAAAGTCTACAGTTTTACTCCCTCTGCTGTTCAGAATTATGTTTGCAAGAAGCTGAAGTCAGTCGGTTTCACTGTTAATCAGTTAATCAGTGTGCCAGACTAGTCAAACTCTAACTTTCTAGCACTGTACAGAAGTTTAACTACACATTTAATCCTTGAGATATCCTAATATAAGAAAAAGAAGTTCATTCTCAACAGTATGTCTCAGTCTTTTCTACGTGATAAAGAAATCCTCTTGTAGCCAATGATATAAAAGTGTTTTCTCTGTGCTGCTAACAGGATTATTAATTCTGACAATCATTTTACATCATGGATAACTATACATTAAAACTTGTTAGACCATCATTTAAACATAGCACATGCTTTCTCTTACGAGTGTGGTACCATCAGCTGCTTGGTAGACATTTTTGTAGTAAAGGAGTATAGGGATGTATTTCTGTTTCTAAAATAAACGTAAACGAAATAACAAATTTGGACCAAAGCCATGAGCGCACGCAGTGTAGTTGGAGCTATGAGTTTAGCAGCAATATACAGAGAATGTTGGCAAAATTGCAGTGATTTTGAAAAATCCCTATAAACATGATCGGTGTAAAATCAAGGGAAACTTTATGTGTTTCACGACAATAATTATAACATGCATTTTTAATGAATGGACAAAATCTGACTTCCAGGAAAAGATTTAAATCAGACCCGTGAAAATTTGTAAATGTTTAACTTGCAGCTCCTTGTTTTTCCCACTGCTCCTCACAGCTCCTCTGGGAGAAATGGTGACAGCTGCTGTGTGTTCAGCAACAGCTGCCTTAATTGTGCCATGGTGCTGTTTCCAATTGAGAGACCGGAATTAATTTCTGTTTGAATGCAGTCACAGTTTGGTTTGGGCCCAGCCAAGCATAAAGTACTTTGAACCGGTAACATTTTAATTGGCCTAGCCCCGAGGGCCTTTGAAATTTGTTATTGAGTTTGTGTACGTTGATTTTTCAGTAGTCAGCCGATAGCACATGATCAGAGGACTACGGAGTTCTCAGTTCTCCTCTTTTGGAATTATTGTGCAATCTGCCAATATCTTCATCCCTGAAGTTTCAGTGAATCTGCTTCTGTTTTCGATTTAGAGCCGCCTCTCAAAATCGTGTTGTTTGGTGATTGGGAATGGAAAAACTAACGGTAAGGAGATTTTTATTGGCTCGTGGCTTTTATTTGTTATTTGATATGAAAAAAGTAGTTGCGGGTTAATAAAACAAAAACAAAAAAGCAAGTCTAACCCTACTGTGCTTCATATAAGCTGGAACAGCTTTAAAAAAATAAATTGGAATTCTTTGTTTTACTAATGTTTGTGTTCATATATGTCATGCATTTCCAAGTCAAATCTTTCCCTATTTGCATGTTCTTTTATTCCTAGTATATCTTGCTATTTTATCAAAGGATCAGTTGAATCGTGTATTTGGCCTCAGTGCCAAAAAATCTTGACAGAACAGAAAAGCTTACCCTCAGACCTTTGTTCACTTTGTAAGCCTTGTGGTTAAAGCTTTTAAAGTCTATTTTAAGCAAACCATGATTTTTTTTTCTCAAATCTAACAGAGTAATTGTAATTACATACATCTAAACATAATCAAACAGCATAAAATGGTTTAAAATCAAAGACTTTGAGTGTGTAAATCTGAGACTGCTGCTGACTTTCCTGGTCTGTCCTGCAGCCAGAGCAATGGCGAGAGATTATGAGCAAGAAGATGCGGTTCTCTCCAGCGCTCATCAGTGCCATTCAGGAGGGGGAAACGGCGCTGCTGTGCGGACTCTTGAAGACAGGTGACGGCATTACCCGTCAGCTGGATGAGTCTGAGGATCGTCAGTGGAGGGAAGCCCTCAACCTCTCCATCCGCTTGGGCAACGAGGATGCCATGGACGCCCTCCTGCAAGGAGTCAAGTTTGACTTCCGGCAGATTCATGAGGCTCTGCTAGTCGCCGTGGACACCAACCAGCCAATAGTGGTGAAACGTCTCCTGGACCGCTTGGATCAGGAGAAAGGGAACAAGATGGACGTACGATCCTTCTCTCAGGCCATATTTGATCGCTCTGTTGACAACTCTCAGTTTGCCCCTGGTGTGACCCCTCTGACTTTAGCCTGCCAGAAAGACCTGTACGAGATTGTTACCATGCTCACCCAGAAAGGCCACGTCATCCCGTGGCCACATAAGATCTCCTGCGCCTGTTTGGAGTGTTCTAACGGCCGGCAGTATGACCTGCTGAAGTTCTCCCTGTCTCGCATCAATACTTATCGTGGCATTGCCAGCCGTGCCTACCTGTCCATCACCTCTGACGATGCCATGCTCAGCGCCTTCAGTCTCAGCAGAGAACTCCGTAAGCTGTCACAGAAAGAGCCAGAGTTCAAGGTCTGAGGAGATTCATAGTTATCCCTGCTCACTATTCATGACGGGTGTCTCTGTTGCTTCTTGACTTATGGTTAATTTCTCCTACAGCCTCAGTACCTGAGCCTGGAGCAGATCTGTCAGGAGTTTGCCGTGGAGTTGCTGGGCATGTGTCGCAACCAGAGCGAGGTAACCACTATTTTGAACAGCTGTGGAAATGAAACTCAGGATTCCTTGGATGAACAGGCCTTTGAGGAAGGAATCCCCAGCCTGTCTCGCCTGCGGCTTGCAGTCAATTACAACCAGAAGCAGGTAGCTAGAATTAGAAACTGATGCCAACCAAAGACAAGTAAGATAAGAAACAATCAATTCCTGTCTTCTCTGTTTGTGGCAGTTTGTGGCGCACCCAATCTGTCAGCAGGTTCTGTCCTCTATCTGGTGTGGGAAACTGGCAGGCTGGAGAGGTAGCAGAACGGCCTGGAAGCTGTTTGTCTCTATGGGAATCTTTCTTACCATGCCCCTTCTTTGCCTTGCCTACTGGATTGCACCAAAGTCAAAGGTCACACACTCTGTAGTAGCAGGTTGATATTGGATGTACATAAATGTGTCATGTGAGGTTAGGGATGGGTATCGTTTAGGTTTTATCTGGTACCGGTGCCAAACCGGTACTTTTGAAACTGTGCCGGTGCTTAAACCGGTGCTTAAAGAATGGAGAACACAAAATTGGTCCAAAAACCTCTCATGTTCAGCTGTTTTTTTTTGTAAAAAGATAACAATGTTCCTTTTCTGCAGCTATGGGGCATATATGGTATCACTCTTGGCTGGAAGCAGTGCTTAAACAATGGAAAAAACACAAACTTTGTCCAAAAACCTCTCATGTTTAACTGTTTTCCACTTTTTCTTTGGTCATTTTAGCCTTTTTGGCCAGGGTGAAGGGAGTATCTGCCATCAAACAAGAAGACAGCCGCATGTAGCTATGATGATGTTTGCTAGTTCACCTTACATGCATTAATGTAATAACGTGGTTAGCTTACTCAACGTAAATTACACACGAACAACATTAAGCTACTCACGCAGAGAAGAGCGGCTGCTACTGCCATCATCATCCGTCATCATTTCTGCTACACTGGCAGGGCTAGGGGCCAGGACTCTCCTCTTCAGGTTTTGGGGGATGTTGCTAAAACAGGCAACCCACCCGCAGTAGATGTGTGAGGTCTTGCAGCAAGCTATCAAATACGGCGCATTTCTCGGCTTTAAAAAAACCCGCTATGCATCGCCAGGTGTTTCATCAGATTTGAGGTGTTACCTCCTTTGACAGTATCACAGTATCAGCTTAAAGCACTTGTTGCAGGCTGCTGAGTTTGCATATTTTGCTGTGAAGTACAGCCAGACTTTTGACTGCTTTGCCTTGGACATTTTTAATCTGTAGCTCTGCTCTAAAAGAACATACGTACCTGGCCCCCGCCTACTATCCTCGGAAACGTAAAATGATTGGCTAGAAGTGTATCACAGCTCAGGAAAAAAAAGCACCAAAATAAAGCACCGAAATGTGCGCTGCTTTTCGGTCTGGTTACGACCGTTTATGTCAGAACCGGTGCCATGGATACCGGTACCCATCCCTATGTGAGGTATTATTTCAATTTTAAGTTGACTGTGTTGTTTGTTCCCCAGCTGGGAAAGCTAGTAAGAATTCCTGTGATCAAGTTTCTTCTTCACTCTGCATCCTACCTGTGGTTTCTCATCACATTACTTGGGGAATCGATAACCATGGAGCTATATCAGGACACATTTGCTTCCCGGCAGCAGAACCTTCTGCACAGCTCCTTCCACATGGTGTGGGTGGTCGGTAGGTGCACTTTCTCTAGTTTTAACTTTTAGACAACAGCCATTAGATGTGAACAGGGTTTGGATTGTCTGTTTCTTAAAGGATTCTTCTGGTATGAGTGTAAGGAAGTGTGGATCGAGGGGCTTCGGAGTTACTTCCTAGACTGGTGGAACTGCTTGGACGTGATGGTGCTCAGCATGTACCTGGCATCTTTTGCGTTACGTGTGCTTATCTTGCTCAAAGGTTTCTTCCTCTGCCATGATCATGATGGGACAGAGGAGTGTGTCTACTTCACCCAGACTTGTAAGGGGGAAAAAAATCATTCATCCAAAATGAATGTCACAAATCTCAATGCTCAATTGTTTTTTAGTTTGTTTGTTTGTTTTGTTTTAACTCTGTGAAATTGTCTTGCAGCACGTGACAATTGGCACCAGGAAGATCCTCAGCTGATTGCCGAGGTCCTCTTTGCAGTGACCAGCATGTTAAGCTTCACACGACTGGCATATATCCTGCCAGCCCACGAATCTCTGGGAACACTACAGATCTCCATTGGAAAGATGATTGATGATATGATGAGGTCACTTATATCTGATTCCTTATATTTTTACATCTGAATATACAGAACCAGAAGTATGTGAATGTTTCTTTTCTGTTTGTTTGTTTTTAGATTTATGTTCATACTGATGATCATTGGCACCGCCTTCCTTTGTGGCATCAACAATATCTATGTTCCTTATGTCATTTCTCCAAATC